TTAACTAGATTGCATGAAAATTAATTCAGTGAATGTATTAGACAGATCTTTTTCACGTAATATAATTATTCTAGGAAAAATTGTCATCAAAATTAAACAATTATTATTTTACACATTTGAAATCATTAATCAATCATTGTTAGACCACGATTAGACACCTGGAATCCCTGGACGGTCGTTTCGTCCTGGTATGGGACTCATGAGCAATGCGCATTATTAGTTTCAATATAAGGGTTGCGGAGATTATTGAGTTTTACTGAAATCACGAACTAGTCTAAGTCAGAAAACCGTCTAAAACTCAGAAGCACTGGACGGCTGTTTTATCCTAGTACGGGGACTCAGTAGTAGGTACCCCCGACCCTCGGTACTGTGAATTGAATCTATATATTAATACCGTTGAATGCTGACTGTGGTTTGGAGGCAAGGGGTTCACGTGCGCGACTGAAGTTCCTGTATTCAATTCCCATGTGCAGGGTTGTGAATGCCTATTGCTGGTTTCCATAATACGATGAAACGGCCAACCAGCGCTTCCACCTTTTCATCAAGGGTCTAATTTGGGTCAGTTCATGATTTCAATGATATTATCCTTTTTATACATTTTGATAGCAAAAATGAGAAGAATTAATTATTTGCAACATATTTGAAGGGTAAAATAGTTAATTCACAATTCTGGTCAACTCATCATTCTAATTAATTTTCCAGCTTTCAATTTATTTATTACTTTGGCTCACTTAAGGAAGACTGAAATTGATTTCATTAAAATAATTTTAATATCAAGTAAGTATATTTGTTCAGCTGAACAAAGTTATAATAGATCAGTAGAACAAGAAATTGATTGCTACTCTTTTAGGTTGTTGATTACAGTTCACTTGATCAAGACAGTGAAATGATATGATAACCAATGGATTTAAAGAATTTAAGCATAACTATTTATTTCGCAATCAAAAAATCTATTCTACCATAGAAGTTGAAGAATAATAACATCTGAAAAAGCGAAATTTACAAAAGAGATTAAATCTTGGGTATAACAAAAACTACAAGATCTTAAATGTCGTTAACCAAAAAATAAACGTGTCCATCCATTATTATCTCTGAAGAAAAAGAATCAAGAGAAAAGATTAGAGGAAGACTTGAGAATGACTTGATTTGTCCAAGGTCGTGGGAAGCTGTTTCCTTAAAATGTACTTGTAAGCAAATAACGTTTGTAGCCTATTCAAGTGAAGCGTTGCCCACTGCCTATAAGAAGAAGCAAGTACGTTCCTACAAAATTGAAAAGGTGGAAGTGAACATTCAGTTTTAAAGCCGAGTTTAGTGCGTACAAAGAATCCTCCAAAAGGAACTGGAGAGATCTGATTTCAAATGAACACTGGGACATGAACTTTAGGATTCTACCGGGAAAAAGTGCTCTAACCACCAAATAAAGTGGGAACACAATGGCTTTATTCCTTTGTTGTCCGAAGGTGGTCCCCTATGAAAATCATCTGTTTTAACCAGACGTCAGGTTATTATTTAGCAGCGCTATCATACAGCTTAATGAGTGTGGTCGGCAGTTGTCTGCCAATATCATTAAAAGATTGCTGTGCAATAATGCAATTTGATTAGATTTAGACATGTAAGCTACTAAGATGTAAAGGTTTAGCGCTTGTTGCCAGACCGAAGGTCCCAAATTCGATTCAATCCTAAAGATTCCTATTAAAAAACTAAACAGCTATCTAAAACTTTGTGGTCTTCGACGTTTAGCTAACCAATATCACTGTTATTCTCATAAAACTATCAAGAACATAAGTCAAATTTGTAGCTTCTATAACAGTAGAAGACTATTTTCACAACCCTCTACCTTTTCAACTTTAACTACAGAAAACAAGAATATAAAATATAACAGTTATTCTTGACATTTCATAGGTAGACACAGAGAAACAAATAGGACAATAAAACAGTTATGATACTTTGGATGAAATCTTTGATAAAAGAATAAAAACGGGATTGTTTGGTCTATAATTGTCAAAAAAAACCCAAAATAAAACATATTCATAATAAATAGTTTATGACTCATCAACAGACTGGAAGAAATGGCACTTTTCACTGCTAACATACACCAACCAAAAGGAAAAAATAACTATAAGAAACTTGACTGTTGTAGCAAGCAATAGCAACAGTGAAATAAAGTGATAAAAATATGAAAAATGAGAAGGCAGTGAACAAGTAGAGTGTTGCATAAGAAGAAAAAATAAAGTAAGTTAACTACTACTTTTTCCACTGCTCTATACTTCTTCACTACAATTTAGTGTAATTGATCATTAATTTATAAAAACACAAAATGGTAGACTACTAGTAAAAGATGCTATATTTACAAGACATTTGAGTGATTGTTTATTGCTTACATTTTTTACACAGACGATTAAAATTGTCTGTAATTTTTTTAGTTAGTCCTGAATAATATCAAGACATAGGATTAGGCACATAGGATTACAGTGAAAATGACACACTGATCAAATAAAAAGAGAGAGAAATCAACATTGCCGTATATTTAAAAAAGAAAATTCCATTAGGGTTTGTTTATTTAGATTAGAAATAATAATAATAATAATAACCTATATTATTGTACAAGATAATGCCACACAAGAGATTCATTCATCTCACTTGAGAGCTTAATTTACAGTGGTTTTCTTTCTAAAGAAGATAAAGAACTTTTTAACCAGTGACATTTTACTGTGATACTTTAAAGTCTTCATTTAGATCCTGTACGAAAGTAGTACTGAGTTTGAAGTCATAGCGGAAAAGTTATGCAATGGTTCTTGATTGTGAATAATACTTATTTGTGTTGGGGATGTTAGATTCCCAGAACTCGCATGATAAATGCCTTAATTTTGGATTTCATGTTTGCGAGCATGGGCTGATCAGTTGACCTTGAGATTTCATTTCCCACCAGGAAAATCCTTGGCTGTGATTGGCTGATGTGTATTTTAGTGTGTTATTTTCGAAACTGTCCCAAGGACGTTTCTATGATGTATAAATAAACGAGAGTTGTGTGCTTGATTGTATTGCGATTGCTGGGTGTTTGTAGAATATACTTTCTACGCTTACCGGGTCTTCTGTTTTACAGTTTGGGATTCAAGGGAGCCTACCTGGACGCTGGTTCCTTGTCTCGTTCACGTTTATCGACTAAGGTGAACTCGTAATAGCTTCAAGCGTACCAAGTGACGAACATAACAATTCGCAATTTTTTTTACAATGGATATCGGTCAGTTAGTTGTTCAACTAGGGAGTTGTGACTTATGGAATCAATCCAAGAATGGTAATAAAAACAGGATCTTTCGATAATAAAATGTCACCACAGTAAAAAACAAACACCCTACTTATATTTTTGACATTACCTATTACTTTGCAGATTTTCTGCTTATTCGATATTTGATTTGATGATATTTTTAAAAATAGACTTTCAACATTTTTTTCTGAGACTGGATTTTAAGAATATTTGCATTATTTGTTTTTGAATAGGCTTGAAGACAAATTTCTTTCACAAAATGATAACTCTAGTGAAATTACAGATAATTTCGAATACAGATAATCAATCTGTTTACTAGCTGTTAGTCAGACTCTCTCGGAAAAAAGGATGGAAATATGATTCACTCTCAGTCTAAGAGATTGAATCAATGAGCCGAACACATTAGGTGACGACGACCCAACTATCCCTCAGCATCACATCACACACACTTCATTTCCGAGCAATCTGAATGTCAAGTTGCTATAAGTCTTCGAACTCTTGAAGAGGTTGAGAAGGGTATAGACAATCTAAAACGAACGAGAGCAGCAGGACCAAGTGGACTAAGCTCTGAGACTTGAATTGATGGTGGTTCAGTTTTAGCAACGAGATTGACTGAGATTTTAGTTAAAATCTGGGAACTAGAAGTAATCCCATCCGACTGGCCTCAATCGCTGACTGTCCCAGTGTATAAGAAAGGACAAAAGTCCTCTTGTAACAATCACAGAGGATTCAGTCAAACTAATAGTGTCTAAAATATTAGCTTCAGTAATACTTCGACGCCTAACTGGAGCTCGTGATTAGCAAACTAGATAAAACCTGGTTGGTTTCAGATCGGGCGTGGATGTATAGACCGAATATCCACTCATCGGCAGGCATACTTTCCAACATCGACAATAATTTTGGTCATTAACCTTAAAGTGACGCTTGACTCTGTAGATTGTGAGGTTCTTTGGTGGTCTACTGGCGAAACGAGTACCAAAGAAGTACATTAACCCCTTACAGGCTCCCTATTGGAACACTACTGATCAAGAAAATGCTTACAGTATATGCCGACTTGAAATGATGTATGTACATGCCAGTTTCTATGTGGTATCTGGCTGAAATCAGATAAACGGAAGAGTTGTTTCCACCTATACAGATTTATTCAAAAGTGAAGTCGCCTGCCTCAAGGGCCCTGAAGAATTGAAAGAAGAGGATTAAAAAACAGTAGGAATATATCAAGTGGATATGTCGTACAGCAGTCCGATTAGGGTAATTCGAATAAACACGTTCGATGAGATAATCTCAGAAAGATGGATTAAATATACACTAAAAGGAACATTATCGTTCGTTCGATCCCTGGTGAGTTATGGATGAGGATTGTTGAGATGTCTCATATTAGGATGAAAAGTTTTTCTGAGCTTGCTGGTCTTCAATGACAGTCTAACTAAGATCTGTGGCTTAAAATTCGACAACCTACATAAACTTCTACAGTAAGTGAATTGGAAATTTTAGATTTTTTTATATTGAACCATATATGAATGCGTTTAACTAAGATTACTCCTATTTTGGTTCTTTATTCACCGTAGTACTACGTAACTAAACATTTATTTCATTATAAAACTACGCCTTTCCTATATTTGAAATTACATAAATACCTTTTAGTTCCCAATTAAAGTTTGATAATCTTTGAAATTCATTCATATAAACACAAAAGAACCGCATTAAAAATAGGAAATATTTCATATACACCTACTTTGAATGGGCCACCACGTCCATTATCCACTTCTAATTGAAATTGAATCGATTTCTCATGATTCATAGCCGATAGAAATCGAATATCACTATTGACTGTTATACTTTTATGCAATGTATTCACTGAATATGATCCATTCAATTCTGGAGTAGATGGAATAGTTAGTGTACATTGATTTGAAGAAATCAATGAGGGCATCTGTTGATGTTGATGATGATGATGATGATCACAATGTTCCATAGATTGATGAAAGTGTTGATCTTTATTGACTTCGGTCTCTTTGGCATTAGTCATTAAAGCATAAGCTGAGACGGATTCAGGTATATGATAGTTTGATCGTAAACGAACAGTTCCAGGTGTTGTCAATCCACTATTAGATAATGAATGATGTAAATTATTACAACAAAATGATTGACTTGAATTCAATTGAATATTTGTACTAGTTGAATTTTTAATTGGATCAAACGCCAGTTTAATTTCATTTGAATTAGATGTATTGTTTAAGAATGAAAATGATTGTTTCATATGACACTGATCGTTTTCAGTATTTTTTAATGGAGTCGATGTATTAATTGTATCCCATAATAGTTGAATGTTATTACTCTCAACGAAACATTGAGATAAAATAATTTTTGGAACAGGAGGAGCTGGAGAATAGTAAGAAATAATAGATGCATATCAGTCAAAAATAGTTACTTTAATGAAACATACTGAGGTGAATATAATTAGTCAGCTCATAGACATTAATTCAACATCCAATCATGAATAACGTAAATATTGGTTAATTTGGGACCAATCTCAAATGGAAACGTGAGTTTAAGCTTCGTGCTAGTTGGCACTCATCAATGAAATGTACCTTAAATATTGACGAAACTAATACTCTCTATGAGATTTTAAGTAGAGTTACTTAGACTTGTGGTTATATTAGAACTCGATCATTGCTAAGTGACTAGGTATAGCAATAGACTCTGTTGTACATAAGTTGCATTCCTTTTTAGTTGACTCTTCTTACTGAATGAATGATTATGAAGGAGGATTCTAGGGGAAATGGAGGGGCCAAAATGAATTAGATGCTCCAAGATCGAGCTTTTGACTGACTTCTGTCATCCTTTTAGATGACCAAGGATGGTGATGTTCAGAGATGCATTTCGAAAGAGCTCCCCTTGATGGGGCCAAAATAAATTTTCTACATAAACTAGTAGACTGATATATACATATTGATTTGACCCAAAGTGGAAACTTGTCCTTCACACAGCTACGAACTATAGGCTGACTTTAAAAGTTAGTAGGAATGTAGGATACAAACTGAGGTTTGGACTGAAGAATAACTGTCCAGGTAGTTTAGATACGGGTCTCGACCAGTTGAAATCAAAACAAATGATTTGGGTAAATAACGGTTCTAATATTCATCATAAGTGTAAATATACATCATTACCTAAACAAATATTACCAATCAGTTATTCAACCAACAATTGTTCAATTAATCAAATAACTGATATTCTATCCCTCCTGAATAGATCAGATTCCTTCGACAGATAATATTTGGTTGCTTTATAACACAGAATGTTTCCAATTCTGAAAGAATGCTTCAATCCACAATCAAAATGCACAATTTCAGTCCAAGCAAGCAACACAATCAAAAGAGGAACAAATCAATATGGCTGTCGCCATGACTAAGTGTCAGCTTAAACAACACAAATGCAGTTCAGAAAGAAACATAGAATCTCAGTGAAGGCAAAAGAAATAGAAACTTTAATAAAATACAAATAACATCCTCTCAAATGGAATCGAACAGACTAACAAAATGTAAAACTGAAGGAATCAGTAAGGACAAATTACAAATGTGTACATGGAGGGATTTTCAAAAACAAGAGACCTTTAAAAATTGATCATACAGGAAGTTTGGCCGAATAAAATGTTTTTCACAAAGATCTTTAAAGTTTTTCATTTTTTGAAAATATTCCCTGCTGAACCGTATTTAAATTAAATATTCACCTATTCTATTTTACCACTGGCTACTATTTCTAGCAAATAAAATTAACTATCAGTACGATTACATGGCTTCAATAAATGAAATTATCCAAGGGAAAAAATATCTCTGAATTTCCTTCATTGTTCTTCAATGACTCAATGGGTTTTTCTTTCGTTGTGATTAAACTGCTTCGAAATGCACTACACTTCACATGAACAGAAATTGATAAGGATGAAAATGAAGCAAATAAATACGGTAGAGTTAATTCAAGTCACACGTAGAAATATTTCGTTCAGTGTCGTTTAAAATTTCCTATTAACTATTTACACTGATTTGTAGGTTACTATCTATCGCATAGCCTATGGCTATCAACATGGCTAAAATAAGATTAGCCAAATTTAGGGCAAAACCACAGAGTGAACTGTTGCTTAAATTACAAGAATTCAGTTTTTTGAAACTAACGACAGATACACGGATTTTTCTTAGTTCATTTGTAAAGATAGGAACTGTGTAAGATACCTTGAGAAAGTTGGGCGGTTTTACGATGACATACAGACTCAATTATTGTTGGTCACTTGTAATTTTATTCTGCTCTTTCATGAAGGCTGGTTTTAATATTTCCTATTGACTTCCTAATAGATAGACGGGGATTCTCGCTCTTTAACCCATACTATCAGTCACTGGTTTTCCCTACGCACTAGCAATACCAAGTATGATAAAGATCCTTGGAAAAATGTAGCATTCGATTTTCCTCGCTGATTTATTGATTATTTTTGGGCAAGATTTCAAAGTTGACTAAACAGATTAACTTTTGGTTACTTCGTTGACCATGATCTCATTATCGTGACTAGAGGAAATATATATGAACTTCATTTCTTACCAACTGGTTAAGATAACTAACCCAGTTTAATAAAATGGAAGTCTTTGGGTTATCTCGGACAATGAATTTCGACCTCGTTTAGGTTCGAACGAATAATCCCACTACCTCTTTCAGAACTAATTGCACTAAACATAGTTAGACAAGAAAGTAGAAATTGTTTTTAAGTTAGTAATTACATACACCAAGTTAATGTTTCAGTACATACTTGTCTTTCAAAAAGCTAGACATTTTTGTTATCGTAAACTCCTTGAGATGAGGTGAAGTATGTTATAGGTCATGTTTACAGTAACTGTTATTGCCGCGTCGAGATTTTTGGGCGGAATTCATCCTCACATTTCCTAACTATGATGTCCTTGATAACTAGAAACTTCCATTCCGATCCATCTTCAATGTTAAAGTGACTTAATGTTTTCACCATCAAAAAGTTCTAGAAAACGAAATACTCTAATCCTGTTACACCGCATATATAAGCTTGAAATTTTCAGTCCAATCCTATCAGATATAAGTTGTTCGAATGTTGCTTACCACAGATTCACGTAAACTTCCTTATTGGACAGGCAGAAAGCAGATTTAAAGAATAAGCAACGAGTCTTTTTTTATAGAGTGTAAAACAAATGCACTATTTATTAACAGATTTACAATCTTCAGTTCTATTCATCTTTCTATGGTTTGTTTTGATGATTACGCAAGCAGTTTTATTATTACTGGGTGCATTTGAACTATACATAAGTAGACATCAAGAATAATGAATTAAGAACGAGTTACACTAATGATAATTTTCCCCCTGTATAAACATTAATGTTAAAGAAGTTAGCTTACGGTAGATTTCATTCAAAGTGATACTTTCAATTCGTTCAAGTAGATCATTGGTATTGCTGACACGTAATTGAAAATCTCCAAGACAATTTTCACGATAAAATTGAGTTTCTTGAATTAATTCATTCTCGGTACTGATCAGACGTTGTTTAATTGAAGGAGCCACCTGAAAAATAAAAGAGAAAATATTGTTCTGATTATTGTGTATGTGTTATGGACTAAATACTTGGTCTGTTCAATCAAACTGACCACAATTTGTGTTATTATTAGTAGAACAGTGTTTATAAAACTAGTTAAGACTTTGGCACAAATGTAATGATACAAGATTTTATCTTATAGTATGTGTACAGTATATGTTGAGACCAAAGGGCTTGTCGAAGCCTTTAAACTTTAGATCTTGTCAATTATTCGCTTATGACCTTGGTTGTTTGTACTTGATTGCATGCTTAAGCATGCTTACTTCGTTTGTTACATGTGTCCACCCTATTTTTGTCTGACTATAAAGTCATGAATTATCGCTTCGCTTTGCTTTTACGTTTTTTATTCTCATGTTTGTCTGCATTAACGATTGCCCGAAATAAATTCACCCAACTGAATCCGTATTCGGTTTCTCATTATCGCCGTCTCACAAACGGAGTTTGCCTAAACATGACAAATAGAAATTGAAGATGAGATTTGTAGCATTTTGGAACTAATTATCGTGAGATAATCAAGCTAAATCCTGTGATTGGAGGTCGAGGTATATTTATTGATGATTTCGGGAAAAATATCAAGATCGCAATAAATGCCGTAGACGAAGCCAGCGAGGCAACCGAGCAATATCAACCATACGTAACGCAGGCAATTATGGTTTTTAGTACAGTTAAACAAAGGAGTACAATAAAACTATCACTGGTACAATTGGTTACAGTAATAAATGTTTCCATTTCACCGATTGCATTCTCTTCGCAAAAGTATTTCACTACAGATTTATCTCATATCATATTCTATGCATTTGTCCAAATCGAAGTCGAATCACAGGCCACTAAAATCGTTACCAAACATAATACTCGCTTTGATCACTAGAGCAAGTTTATTGACATTAAAAGTTTCTGTAATAGAATATATACAACTTATCGTCATCAGTATGATCTTTACTCCAAGAGGTAGAAATCCAAAATGCCACGTTTATACTTAAGTGATTTGTTAAGTTTGTAGAAAGAATTTAAATACTTAAACTTCATGTCAGCATCAGAACAGAAAACGGAATAATACAAGATTGAATTTTCACTGAGAAGATTTAGAAGAAAAAACATTAAACTATCATGCATTGATCTTCTCACACATAATATAATAAAAACTTATATTTGGGAATGTTAGAATAATTTTCTCTAAAATAACTGATGCATTTCTTAGTACACTAATGAATGATTGAATTGTAAGAGAAAGTGTTTAAGCCCTTAAAAAGAGTATTAATTGATGAATAGGCAACATTAGAAAATGGGTGGACAAAACAGAATTCCATAAAAAACACTCGGTAGATACTACTGGTCAAAATATGGTTACTACTATCCAAAATCGCTTGGATATAATATACATTTATAACATTTACGTGTTACAATCTTTTCTACATCACAATGATACGTGTTTATATGGAAGTTGTAGTGAAACTCATTTAAACTCGACAACACACATTTGTTATTTTGATTTTGAAACACAATTGACTAGTGAAATAAAACGAATTCCGTTCAAAACAGTGTTCATATTCTTTTCATCCTGATTAATCTCAATCGGTAAGTTTTAAGAAACCTATTTTATAGTTGATGAAGTATACGACAATTCCTATAGACCAATCAGTATGAAATACAATTTTTCTGTAGAAAAAAGATGTGCTTTCGAATTTGTTTTGGTTTATTGATATATGACAATTCACTATTAGCGTCAGTTAAATGGTATTGAATTTTTTTTGAAGATATCTTGTAAGATGGTTACATGTGAAAGCCTCGAAAAGTACATTCTATATTATGTATTTCGAAAAGATAATCTTATTAATACAATAAAGTCTAATGAACAGTTCTCATAGTATCGAAATTAAAATACTTAGTTTGAAGACTTCAATGACCTTGAATGCAATACTCTACGTACTCTATGTTAGACGAATTTCAGATACAAAGAAAACAGTTTGTTGACAAATCATTACATTTTTGTTGCACTCGTCTCCAGGTATGCTTAAACAGTTACGGGTTCACCTTGGTCGAATAACGAGAACGAAACAATGAACCAGCATCCAGGTAGGCTACTATGATCCCTTGACCCAAATGTACTAGCAACAAGTCTTGATATAGTGTAGGAAGTGTATTCTACAAACACCCAGACAACACACAATGAATCAAGCACACAAATCGCGTTTATTTATACATCATACTTGGGAGAGTCACAAAATAGCACACTAACATAGCACAGTAACCAATCACAGCCAAGGATTGTCCTGGTGGGAAATGTGATTTCAAGGTCAACTGATCAGCTTATGAAATAAATCCAAAATTAAGACATTTATCAAGCGAGTTCTGGGGATCTAACATCCCCAATAATTTTACAATAACCTAAATCAACTAGCTATTCTTTACTGTAAGATTTGTTTCTAAAACATATATTACCAGAATATATAGTCCCTCAGTAGTGATTGCATTCTAAAAATTTCGAAAATGGAAAATAGTCGTTTGTTGTAATAAAAGTAAACGGCCATAGAGCACTAACATTGAGTTGTATCATAAGTTGATGTAAGATATCTATCTTAAATCAAGGACGGTATTCGAATGTTAATATTCGTACTTTATACGCATTACGGGGTTGTGAAGATTGTTAAGTTACACATCTTTGAAACCATGAATCGATCAATGTTAGACCACCATTAGAAACCTGGAAGCACTGGACGGTCGTTTCGTCCTGATATGGGACTCATCATCAGCGTGCACCCACGACTCCTGTACCCCGCAGGATTTGAACCCAGGACCTTCGGTATTGTAAGTGAACGCCTAACCATCGGACCACTGAGCCGGTATCTAACGGTGTTATGTCTAACTTAATCAATTCACGGAGTTGCGCAACCTCATTCACAGTCTTCGGTAATTACTGTCTACACCCGAACAGGTTGAACTTCACTGGTCACGTCTTCCCACTAGAACTCGGAGATCCCTCACGAAGCTAGTCACTAGTGAGCACAGGTAATTTGCATTACGGGGTTGTGAAGTTTGTTAAGTTTTTTTTATATAACTAAGCGATCCGTATATCAGGAATGTTTTTTTAACAAGAATTAAATACAATGGTAAATTACAATAGGGCAAAATAACTGCCTATTATGATTATTCTTCTTCTTCTCCAATTTTCAGCAAAAAAATATGAATCATCTCTAGTTTTATTTGTAATTTTATAAAATGAGGTTAATGATTACTTGAACAAGCAAATCTAAACATGTTAACATGTCTTTGATGACAAAATATCAAAATCTATGTATATTCGCTTTCACATAATTTCTAACTACTTGTGCAAATTTATTCATTTAAAAATTGAAATTTTAACACGTACTTGTACAATTTTATGTGGTCAATGTGTGTACGTAAAATATGGTGAAGTAATTATTAGTCGGTTTAGATACTTGAGATAAACACAACTTCAAACAATATTAACAGAATTCTTTTATTCTTGTCTCAAGGGAATAATTTTTGAATATAAAAGAATTTTCTTTTAAGGAATGCTTGTGAAATATCTAGACATATTTTTCAACAAAGAAAAAATGTATCTGTTCGGCTGAATGAATATGAAGTTGTTTTCTGGTTGTTACCTCATGTTAAGCATTCCTAGGCATTCGGTATAGACATATTTTTTCTCAAAGGTAAGTAACTTTCCCACTTGTCCTAATTTTTGTTGGTGAAGTTCTCCTCTTTAATTATTCACACACAGAAATAATAAAAGAAAACATGATTCTTAACAAACGACTTTCACATACAGTTCTAGGTATTTTATTTTCTAGTTGTGACAGTTTAAAACTTAAAATTATCATAACTAGACAACCATTGAAAACTAGAAAACACATGGAAACTATTTTGTCCAAGTATATTACCAGTTATTCGAACTGTGTCTAGAGTGTAAACGAATTTGAAAGTACCACTGGGGAAAACAAATCACTTAATATACATATGATGGTTATGAGTCAGTAATACATGAATGCAAATACAAATTATCTTTTCATCATCGACTGCTGATATCTACTATTCCAAGTAGTTGATGTTTGATCAATGTACCTTCCTCAAATAAATAATGTCATTAATAAAGTTGACGCTAGACATGTGCGCCACTGAGTGCCATGTCAGTGGTTTAAAGTTTAGGCTCTTATTGCCAGACTGAGGGTTTTGTGTATGATAGCCGTTGGGGCCATGGGTGCGTACTGTTAGGGACAAAAAAGCTTCCCAGTGCTTTGAAGTGTTCAATAGTTATCTAGCTCTGATCATTCCATGATTTAAACTATTAAAACTAAAAAGTAGTTTAAGAAGTACATAGAACTGTATGTTAAAATCGTTTGTTGAGAACTAAGTTAATATCTCATTTAGTTTATAATCAACTCTTCTGGTTATTAGACGGTAAAGATTTACACAATGTTAACTCTAAATATTGAACTCTCCTTTATCAATAACTACCTTTGACTATAATATTATGTTCCTAAATGACATTTCTATCTTATCTAATTCAGTAATCGTTAAGGTAATCCTAACGAATCATATTCAGTTTATGATTCTGACCAAAATATCACCCATTCAGATACGAAAATTCTACTACATTTCGTTTACGATTTGCCAAAGCTGGAATTAAACTGCTGTATTATCCAGTTGATCTAACTGCATGTGGAGTCTGAAAGAAATCTCATTTAGCAGCATAGCCTAGTTAGAGATAGTTATTAATAAACTAGAGCTCAATATCCAAGGACGAGAATGTACAAAATTTTATCTCGTGATGACTAGAAGAGTTAATTTTTAAAATAAATGAGACATTGATAACCTATTCAGTTGTGTAGTTAATTTCCTTTAATTACATAAACTGCTGATTGTAGAAATCAAAAACGCATAGCTTGTCGTTTCATAATAAATTTAACTCTATCCAATTATTCACACCCATTTAAATACAAAAGACATGAAGAAAGCCCTTCTGAGCTTCCTATTGAATTTCAGAGGATCTGACATTCAGTGAAATAAACATTCAACAATACAGTCACTTGTGAAATGATTGATATTGGTGTTTGCTCTAGCATATTTAAACATTTATAGCAAATTAGACAAAAAAATATAATGTTTGAGAATGTGCTGATGATTTTGTTCCGAAGAACAACGAAAGCTCCACAACCGAAACATCCACCTCAGAGAACAAAACACCACAACGAATATGCAGAGTAATAAAAAAGAATTATGAAAATTCATTCAAGAAGGTTTAACTAGTCATGAAACTATGTATAATACAAACGTCTATTGAATATCAGTCCTTAGGAAATCGACTCTAACTGCTGTGGCTTCCACTGAGTGTAAAAGACAAATCTCTCTTTCATGTTGCCATTATCGGCCAAATGTAATGCATTAAGTCTACATTGTAAATCTGTGTGGTTTTTTGGATTATACAGGAAGATATTCATTAGGTAATATTGATTGGGTTTTCTGAAAGCATATGTGATGTAGTACAGTACAGTATAGTAGTAAATACAAATGAAAGTACCAAATGAAGTAGCTTATGTTTTGTTTAAGTACCTCTACCATTGGTAGACTAGAAGGTGACAAAATAAAATTAACAGTATAAAACATACTCCCTTAATGGTATGAATTTACTGAATCATATCTACACTGAATCGAAGCATCGTATGAAGACTAAATGTTTTATTTTTCACTGAATAAATACGTTACTTAATTTACAAAGTTATATTTTTATTGATGAAAAATTTTGAACTAATTTGGTTTGTGCAATAAATATCTATGCTGTTCTATCCAGCACTTTGACTGATTAAAATGCTGTCTAAATTTAAGAAGTTTTTATGCGTCTTAGCAGTGAGAAAGTTTGTGATTCCTAACTTACTTACTACCTCATGAAAATGAATTATTTGATTTTTCTAAAGTAAGTCATTTCTGCATACTTCAAGTTTATATGAACACGAATGATTGTTTGGATAATTATTTAAGATATAATAGGCCTGAAATGTGATGCCTTTTTTATTTACTTCAGTGATTTGAATCGTTCACTTCATCTAGAATACTCAATAAGAGGTCTATGCTTACTAACATGGTTTATGCGAAAAAGTATCCCGGCTGCTAGTCCTTTAGCGGCTCTTGACTGGACAGCGTGGACAAATGATCGAGTGTGCAATGAAATAAATTTTCCTATCCATTTCCATATATCATACTTGGACAAACCACATTCGTGCGGCAGCGGTAGTAAAAACCCAAATACACTGTTACAGACAGAATAAAATGTATTCATCTATGCAGACAAACATGAGAATGGAAAGCATTCAAGCAAAGTGAAGTGAATTGGAGAAGGTGAGTGAGCTAACTTCCCGTGTGCTGAAGAATATCTAAGTATTTATAGTCAGGCGGTAATAGGCTAGACATGTATACAGTGAATGAATGGTGAGATGCTACAATCCTGATCCTTTCTATTTAACTGACAATTAGTGTATAGTATCATGAATGATTTGCTGACTGTTATCATTATTTTATTATTATGTAATATAAAGAGATAAGTAAATTTTAAAAAAAAACTTACTTGGATAAAAGCAGATGGTTCGCGCTCTTTTATTAATTCTACACCTAAGTAAATTAAACTAGTAGTTGAAGACAGTCTGGTTCCAGCTTGATTGGTTTGTCCACGTATATACTGACGTCTTTGTTGTACTTCTGAGTGTAAATTTTCAATAAGATGAATACGCTTTTTTTCGAGAGTTTCAATAAGCATATCGATTTCTTGGTTTATTAATGTCTCCATATTTGAAATATTTCTCTGAGAATTCAAATGACAAAAACATAATTATCATATATGTATATAAATAAATGAAAATACGAGGGGAGAACCTTTTTATCTATGATAGAATGTTTAAGGATGTATATGTGTTTGTTTATTTCAAGAAACACTAAACACAAGTATGACTGAAACTCTTATTCGACTGTCGTCATTTAACTACTTTATCTTTGAACTATTGTTTTGAAGATTCAATATTCAATGTATTCAAAAATTAAATCCTGACATACATTTGATCTTACATGAAATTGTTGATTAGTTAACACTTAAGCTTACTTCAAGCAATATGTTCTCAGTGGTAAACTTAAAAAATGAATATATATATTGATAGTTAAGAGTGAATAATATTGTATTGTTACCATTATTAGTTGACATTATTTAAATTAGAACACTTAGAAATGCTATATCTAGATTACTTAACAAACAGAGAGTAACAGCTAAATATCCATATGCAAGAGAACATTGTGACGAGTGGTCTATATGGCTGTGACACAAATTTCTTATAAGCTTATCATTATCGAAAACCAACGGACCAACTTGATGATTCTAATCGATTTGTATTTGATCCCGACAATGATAAGTTTATTCCTTAAGCATAAATTCAAACTCAAAAGATATAAATCGATCATTATTTTGAGATTATTAGGAAAATATTTTAGTTTGATTTAACAACAGTTTTTAAATGTATCAAGGGAGAGATTTGCTAAGTTGTACGGTTCTACAGTCCTCAAACATCAAAATTTCTCCAACTGAATAAGATCCCTTTCAAAAGAGACAGGTTCATTCATATTTCAAAGAATACAATCTAGTCAAATGACAGATGTGAAATGAATTTCTTAATCATATTGAAGCCTAGTTTTAAGTCTTTTTAATGAAAATATAAATAAAACAGTTGGTAGCTGAATAAACGTTAGAGTATGAAGTTATTAAACTGTCAAACAAGCTATAGTCGTTTTATCATTAAACAACTGTTAAGCACGCATCAAACATCTTTTTTTATAATCATATTTATTGAAATGTATTCATTAATAAATGATCAGTATGAACACTTGTCTCTCTGTATTTTAAAATGACTAAATAATAGTAATCATAGTTGAGATGAACATTGACTAAACTCTCCTATTAATAATCAGAATGTTTAAATAGTTATTTTGACAAACAGGATTTAATGAATAATGCCAAAGATATTTTATAGCATGACAAAAAAAGCATACGAAGCTGTTTTATACTGGGAAATAAAGTTTTATGTATGTGTATAGAAGGAAGAGGACATTTGTATGATTCTGTATAGGACTCGTTTACGATGACTACTTATTTATAGGAATTTAACCGAATCAAAATTAAAACAACCTACTTTTAATTGATCTTCCGTGTGTTTTAATGATTGAATCAGTTCCGCTCCACGTTTGGCTTCCTCAGAAAGTCGGTGTAAAAGTTTTGATACCTCGGCCTAGTTTAGGAAAAATACGTAGAATGTTTAAATTATATGATATGTATGACTAGACATTTTAAATAAATTTACAAATCAAAATGAATCTTGAATAATTTGAAACTTTATTTATGAGTTTAGTACCTGTCAGCTAATCTAATGATAAGATAGGTAATTGACTTGAAACTTGTTAGTCTTCATTCAGAATTAATTCAAAACTATATGACAACTGCGAAAACAACTGGTTGTATCCTATAGTTCAAAAAAATTGAAGTGTAGGTTGTCATCTTATATGAATATAAGCGCTAAGAATTTCATACGATTAGTCCTCTTTACAAAAGCCGAAAAAAGCGATTGAAATAACAGATAAAAGGAAGAAGCAATCAGAAAACTCAAGCCAAATTTATGTGTTCCGGAGGCAGTAGTCAATTCATGCTTACGTTACAAAATTTACAATTTTGGTTAAAAACACATGCAATTATTATTATTATTATTGTCATAGTCTAGTTTCCTTTATTGTGTAATCTTCGCTAAGCGATTCGTTATTTCATGTACCCTAGGATCTACTTTTCGTTCATCCGCTATTCACTTGCGAAAACTCTCTAGAATCGTGTAAACTTTTCACATTACTCACAATTATCATACAGTCTATCATTTTGGTTTCCAAACTTCATGATCAGAAACCATAAATATTCAATCGATTGATATTAAACTGCCCCAACTTTTAACGCGCCTTTATTTACAGTGTCTTTATTCGAGTTACGGAAAGATAATCAGTTGGTAAGGATGTGAAGCCTGATTAGATTTAGATGTAATAGATTAGTAGTTTTGAAGCTCATTCACTTCTTATCAGGGCATTTAAAGATGACTAATGTATGACTGGAGTGAATCAATCTAAAATATGACAAGATTTACCGATGGTACTGGTCAGTGAAGTTAATATCTTTCGATCTCGTATCTATTTGGTTTCATTCCAGGCTCGACTGGATAGGAACAATCATTTGTTTCATGCTTCATATACTATTGCTTAAAATCGATCCTACAGACAAGGCGCTGCTTCATTTATCTCTTAAAGGCTACTAGATTTTATTCCTAAAACTAAACCGCTTGAATAAGTCCTGATATTACAAATCTAATTTGCAGGTGTTTTTTTGTGAAAATGAAGACGTAAAGATATAAAATTACTCACTATTTTTTGATAAACTGATCTGCTGATTCAACGATCCAACACTGGATTTATCGATTTCTCCTCTAATCTAGATGCTTAGTCAATGAAATAGATGTGACATGTGGGACTGTTTCCATTTTAATAGTGTTTTAGGCAATCTATATTAATTCACTATTAAGTTACTAATAATTAATTGTTCATTCAACAGTCGGTAACCGCATACATACAATAAGTCATACTGTTAAAGGTTGTGTATCCAATTCCTAGATCAGTTCAAAATTTACTCCAGTAATCACATGAGCATCACCATTCGATGATAGGAAAACAATGTGAATGCATATTAAGCTAAGCGAATAAAGTAGCTAATTAATTACAAAGTAACTAACATTTATTAAAAACACCTAAATACGCTTACCAGATTATTCTTTAAGTAATTGGAGAATACATAATCTATAGGTTAAAATGTTGGGGACATTAGATCCCCAGAACTCGCTTGATAATTAACCTAATTTTAGATTTTATTCATGGGCTGATCAGTTGACCTTGAGATCACAATTCCCCACCAGGAGAATCCTTGGCTGTGATTGGTTACTGTGTTATTTTAGTGTGCTATTTTGTGACTCTCCCAAGGACGTCTCTATAGACTATAAATAAACGCGATTTGTGTGCTTGAGATCATTGTGCTGGCTGGGTATTTGTAGAATACACTTTCTACGCTATATCAAGACTATGTTAGGTCTTTTGGGTCAATGGATCATCTTATCTTACCTGGACGCTGGTTCATTGTCTCGTTCTCGTTTATCAACTAGGGCGAACCCGTAATAGTTTCAAGCATAGCGAGTGACGAGCATAACATAAACATTCCGAAAATTTATCTAACAGATTCAGTGAGAATGGAATCGAATATAGGCGATTACAGTACTATGATTATTATTATTATTTTTAGAAATCTGATTAAGAATTGAGATGTGTTTTATGAAAGTACTTGTAACTTGTTCACCACAATTTGATTGAAGTAGATAGAAAAAAAATTGATGTGGACAAAAGCATTAACAAGAAGAGGTGTGAGGTAGCTGTAAATCAACAAAAAACAAGCTTTTATTATCACTTCATCCATAACACAATTTTATATTAAGCTGGTAAATTAAAAAAACCCTTTCCTATGGACGTCTACTTTTTTGGTGTAATACGACCAATACTGGTGATAAACAGTCTACTTGAGAAGATTACTCAATATCTTTTGATTATAACACACACGATTAGGAAAAACACTAACCATTTTTCATAGAATACGAAAATACCTCTCTCCCTAACAAATTAACCAATTTTTCTTACAGTATATTCTGGTAGAGAAGATAATTTGTTCAAATTATAAGTGGATACTTCATAGTAATTTCAACAACAAGACAATAGAAGTTTTGTTTCTTGAAGAAAGAGGAAATTATTCGTCGCATATTTCATCCTAATTCTAATAAAATCATTATATAAATAACTTTTTCGTTCACGAAAGCAGCAGAACTTAAAGTAATAGCATATTTTTAGTTTTAAAAGTGTAGATCAGTGTTAGGAATACTTACTGGCTTCGATATTTTAAACAATATGAACAGCCCCCCAAAACGCCCCGCTACGACTGAGAGTGAGAAGAGTTTGCACTCGTTCTAGAAATGCTCTCATATGGCCATGCGTATATAATTACCAGACCAAGGTAGCGCTAATTGACTGGATATTCATTAACAGTCATTTATGCGATGTTAGATTAGAAAGCTCCGTTAAACTGAAAAGAGATAGATCGTTTTTTGTTATTTCCGCCTACGCCTCGACAAATTACTACCCAGATGATTCAAGCAGGGATCAGTTCAATCACCAGTTAAGTGATCTCCAGAGAATGCGTCATACAGACATCGTAGTACTAACCGGAGACTTGAATGCAAAGGTCAGAAGTCTAGGCGCAGAGGAGAGTCGTCTGGGTGGTCAGTAAGGACCTGTTAGTCTCAGGTCAGATAAAGGTGATTGTCTACTGCAACTATGCACAGACTACAACCTGTTTCTGACTAGAACTTGCCATCGACAATCATTACCAATTGTTGATGATGAGTTCTGGCTACATTTGCACGGTGATATAAAAATAGTGAGTAAAGTAGCTTGCGGTTTCGCTGAACGCCCAGCTTATAAGCACTGGGTTTGTACAAGCCCTTAAAACTCATAAAACCAAGTCGGTCTACTCCGACTGCGTCAATCAGTCGATCAATCAACAGCAACGTAGAACTTCGTACGTACGTACATCAGTTCAAATTTTTTTACCACATTAGCACATAGATGTAATTGTCAATTCAAATCCCATAGAAGGAGAGGTAGCAAAGGTATTAGCAG